CCAAATATAAGAGACACTGCGGGATTCATCATCCAGAGTGTTACTTATTTTATGTAGACTGTGCACTAGTTACAAGCAGACAGCATGCATTTTAGCCACAACAGCAAGTTTGTGCAAAGTTGAACCCATCTAGTTTGACAACACGGATACCGTGATGAATCCCACTATCCATACCCCAGGTTGAGAGGCCCAATTCACTCACCTGAAGGCTCAGATAAGCTCCATCAGTTGGGAAAATGGAGACTAAGAGAAGTACGTACCTATGTCTGGGGCTACTTTAAGGGTCAATTCTCAACCATTCCAGCATAAACCACCCTTCCCTTCTATCTTTGTGACTGTGCATATACAAAGTACAGAAAGAAGTAGTACGGACACACTAGAGGAGAGGTCTTGGGCAAACAGATTCCTAGAAGGAAGTCCTTTGGTCTTCATTTCCCTTGTTGCGTGACAAAAATTCACAGCCACTTGTTTCTGTACTTTGGTCTCATGATAAACAACAGAGAAAGTGAGAAAGAGGCAAGCCACTGGCAGACTTCCTGTTCTTCCCCAATGGTTACACTGCCAAGTACTGAACATGCCACAGAAAGATAGGCAGGGGAGGGCAGACCAAGCCCTATGCAATGCTCAGGCAGCCTTCCAGGGGTCAACTAGAGTGCTGCAGGGATCAAGGCACCCAGGGTGGAGTAGCATGTATGGCCTGCACATTAGGGCTCAAGAACAGACAACCCCAAAAGTTCAGATCTTAGGCTTTCAATTTATGTCCTTATCCTTATGCAGTTGTTGTTTTTACTGAACAAGGCTATGAACCTCATAATACATTCAGGGAATCCATAACAAATTCCATGTTCGAGATAATGACTATATAAGTCCACTGCAGATAAAGTAAAAACTAATAAAAATCCTAATATCATTGTTTGGACCACACTAAATTAGTTTTGCTTGCCCTGTTCCCAACCATTACAATCTGAACTCCCACTTCAGGATCTGTGGGAGACCCCAGCATTCACAGGTCACCCATTGACAACTGAGTAGTTGTGAAATCAAACATGGGGAAAATCTGTCAAGTCTTCCTCCAGTGACTGGGCTGTAAGTGAAGTAGCAATTTTGCCTGCAGCCCAAGCAGTAGGTATAAGCTGGGTTTGAGGCCAGTAAGTTCAAATGCCGATGATGATCAGTACACATTGAAGCAATGTCCCTGCTACAGAGCATAGTTTTTATATGCATTTTTTTTCATTATGGTGTTAATCATCACTAAAATGCACATTGCACATTTCAGTCACAACATACTAATCACTATGTTATTCATCCACCCCTATGCTAAATCCAGGGGATGAGAGTTCAACATTTTTTCACTCGAGATGTTTTCTAAAAAAAAAAAAAAAATCATAATCATCAAGTAAAGCTTTGAAGACTCAGCCTTTTATCTCTGGCAGTCATGAACTCAACCCCCTGCCTAAACCAGCAGCCACCATCTTACCAGGGCAACATTAGTAAGATTAAGCATCCAAGACAGGCACCTCATCCAAAGGTGTCAAGTCTCGAGGAACTGGGGGAAGATGCACAGCATACAGCTGCTGACACTCTAGGCTTTAGTGACTATGGAGCATTTGAGGAAGCAAATCATGATGCTTCTTCACAGAAGCAGCATGGTCTGGCTGGTCCTCCAGGTATCCCTATTACTCCCCACAACCATGCCCCCTTCCTCCTCCACTGCTACAGTGGAAGCCAGAACTCCACTGCTGCCCTCCTCCCCAGCCCTGCTCTTCGCACGTAAGATAGTACCAGCACCAAATGAGCTCCACTGCACACCTTGTTAAAAAGATAGATTGTTTAATAAAATCTACCATTTGTATCCTCACTCCCTATTTGACTGCATGATAGCCTAACCAGTAGTTACTGAAGTGCAGACTCAAGAGATCCTTATTCATGTTTCCAGAGAGATATAAGTCTGCCCACAATGGCACATGGTACCATTTACTGATATTTTGCAAACAGCTCCCCTCCACTAAGAGCATGCATTCCCAGACTGCCAAATTTACAGGGAGATGCAATATGGTATTTGTTTACAACCAGAGCCAATACCAGTCTCCTTTATGCAAGGTGGAATCTATTATTAAATCCCATTTGTTCACTGAACTAAGTCAAGTACACCTACAAGTTAAAAGAAAAAATATTTAGAGTATTGTTTCTATAGAAACTGGCAACAGGCTGACCCTAATGTTTAAGAAGAAATTCTCCTGCCAGGAAGAGAGACTGATTTGCTCAGTAACTGATAGATAGAAATGTTATGAGAATTTAATTTTCAGTTTTGCCCATCTTCATTCAAACAAGGTGTAACAAGCTGCATTTGACAGCTTTAAAAAAGCTATGCTTTCACTAACTTCAAGGAAGGGGTGTTTTCTCTTTTAACTATTCTTCAGTGCCCTCCTTCCCCCTAGAAAAAAAATCCCATGAAGATATGAAGGGTTCCAACACAATCTTGTCAGCACCGTCTTAAGTCAGAAACCATAATCCATGCCCACACCTTTGATGCAGTGTTGGGACATATACTGTGCCTAATATTCACTTATACCACATTAATATTTTTATATAGAAATACAAGGGGTAACCAAGGATGTTTCCTATATTGTATTTTCAAATTTTGTTGAAGTTTGATTTTAATTTCTAATTATTTTTTATTTCCCCCCTCACCTGACAGTCATATTGTAAGTGTTTTCATGTACTATTAAAGTATTGGATTTTATGAAACAATATATACAAATATCAGACAGAAAATTTGAGAGCCATTTGACAGTAACACCCTTTTTCAGAAATAGCCAAACACACTGCAAGTATGTACAAATATATGTACTAAAACACACACATTACCCGTACGCACCTCCCCCCCCGTTAGTAAAAAGTGGTCACTGAATTTTGACTTACTTTAAAAAAAACTTACAGGTAAAAATATGCAACTCAAGCAAGTGTGTTCTAGATTCTAAAGACATTTTCTTTAATTTTTAGAACCCATGCAATTGAAAAGTGTACATCAGTAAGGTCTGTTCCTCTCCATTCACAACTCTTTACTAGAGTATCATTTTATCTATAAGAGGTAGTTCGATATATTTTCTAAAAGGTATTTATTTAAAAATACATCTGGCTTGATACAATTAAAGTGAATTAAAACATTTCAACAAGGCAATAGCTTGGCAAACTTCAAATCATACAAGTCTCTCTCTACTGTAAACTGACCTGTGAACTATAAGTGATCATTTCCTTCTTTTTGTTGAGAATGGAGCCAAGAAAGTCCAGCTTGTAAAACTAGCATTCTTAAATAGACCATGAAGAAAAATAGGTTGTACCTAAATTAACAGAAGCCAGGAGTTTTAGAGATTACATGCCAATATATTTCAGCTCCAAAGCAGTGCACAATTCTTGAATATCCCCAAAGTACAAAATACACAAGGCAACATCCTGTTATACGATTAGCAGGATCATAGGATCATCACTTCCTTAACTAATTTTTCTAAAAGCTATCTGAACACCTGCGCTCACAAGGATAAGCTTGTATGTCTGAACATGGCTTCTTAGAACACTCTACAAAGTCCACTATGAGCTTATAGATGCCTTTTTTTTTAAATCAATGTAAAATTTAAATTTTCTATAGTACTTGGCAATATAGCATTTTCAGACTATTAATTCTACAGAGAACTGCAGAGAGTAGGAGCTCTCTCACTTGGGGAGGATGAGGTATTAAATAAATCATTCTATGATACAACTGTATACAAAGCATTACCAGGGATTATGTTAAAGGAGCTTTAAAGCAAGGGATGATATCCCACCTCGCAAAGATTATCTTGCGATTGTCTTCCTTCAGAGTTTAGCCGTCTTTAAGACGCCATGCAAGAGACAAGGATTTTTTAAGGCGATGACTTTTATTGGATCAACTGTATATAGGTAGGCTCAAGTTAGACAAGATCTGAATGCAAAGCACAGGCCCAAAGAAAAATGCTTTGCATTCAAAAGCTTGTCTAATTTTATCCCAACTATACAGTTGATCCAGTAAAGAAAAAACACACAACATCCTTGCCTCTTGCATAAAGTCCTGGACTATCAATACAACATCACATTAAAACACAGCAGCATCTAACAAATCAGTTTCCAAAAGGTTGATTAACATGAATTATTAACCTGGATTAGCTGACAAACCTAGATCTCCATGAAGTTATACACTACCCAGAATACTTAAAATCCAGGTCTGCAGACAGCGTTGGTTCGGTGGCACATTTTCTATAGCACCACATGCTTTTTTACAATAGCACGTAGCTTATTCAAATAATTCAAATTTCCCCAACATTTATGACAGCTTCCTAGGCAACTAAAAGGCAAATTTTAATGTTACCTCCTTGAACAGAAATGGAGGATTTCTTTTTAACAAACTGCATATTGGGAATGTTCTTCCTTACAGCTTTTATTTCACGCAAGAACCATAGCTGACCACTGGGTTCTCAGACCTCCATAGAGGTTCCTTTGACATGAAAACAATTCTACAAGCAAACTTTAAACTGAAGCAATTTGGAAGGTTTTCTAATACAACAAGGTATTTTCTGGTTTCAGGTTGGGGGGGGGGGGTTAACCCTTTAGGTTCTGCTCATCTGTCCTCTCTCCAAACATCCCATTGGACAGGTGGGTTTAATTTTTAGCAACTGATTAGTACCAACACCTTTTTGAAAGAGCAAAGCAAGTTTCTCAACTAACTGCATTAAACAACACTATTAACAAGCCTGGACTGTGAATGTGGAAAAATCCAAAGCCTTGGATAGTCATGCAAGCTTTCAACATTGCTGCAAATACCCCTCTCAAAAAACACAGTATTTTAGGCTGTGTAGCACGAAAATAGCACTGAGAAAAACTGGAGATCTCAGGTCTGATTTCAGATGAGCTTTTTGGCGATACAGATTTATTACTATTAGACAAGAATATTTATTTAAAAGCTCAGGGAGCACAGGTGGTCTCTTTACTAAGCACCTCATCATCCACAAGCACCAGCCTCGTGATTTCGTTGTAGTCTTTAAGGATGCTTGGTGATTCAGTCCACATGTCCCCGTTTGCCCTGCTCAGCTACTGCAAACCTACAACTTCCCAGTACAAGCCTCCAACATAAGTATACTATTTTCAAACTGTGCTGAACACTGATTTGGACCAATTCCTGGCATTCTCCTTTGGTCAGCAGCCTTTGTTGCTTTGGTTTGTGTTGTATACATCTTTTGCAAGATCGAGTTTAGTACCTGCTATTCTTGCCCTACAAAAGGTAACTATACCCCACACTCACTCTCTCTCAATCTTTTTGATAAAAAAAAATTGAGCTCTTCAAATTTCAGTAGTTTTCTCCAGCTTCAACATGAAATTTCATGACTGTTCTTGCACCCTCTTGTTTTCAACTTCCTTTTTTAAGAACATTGTTACCAGAACTGAGGACAGTATTCCCAGATAGCTCTCACCAAAAGGCATACAAAGAGGTTTTACACCCTCACTTTTCTCCTCACCATTATTCCATTTATATGTCCAAAGACTATATTTGCCCCTTTGCCACGGTATCACATGGGGAAGACAAGTTCAGCTTCTTGTCCATTATAACCTCTAAAGCCTGTCCAGTCAAAACCTTTCAGGATGGATTCCTCTTCTCTAGACGCATATTTTTGCATTTGGCTACGTTAAAATACAGACCTTGTTTTCATCAGCCTTTATTACTAAGTGATCCAGCCCTATACAACTGCCTCATTTCTTATTACTCTGCCAATCTTTGTCATTTCACAAACTTAACAGTAGCAACTATATTATTTACTTTCAGGTCATGATGTAGGAGTACAATTAATATAAAAATCAGGATAGCACCAAGCACCAGCCCCATACAAGTTTCAACTATGGGTGCACCGATAGAGATTTCTGGGAGCAATACAGATAGCCAATTTTTAACGAGGCATATTGGCCAATGCCAATGTGATTTCTGAT